CTCGCTGTCTCATTTCATTTGTCGATAATGTGTTTTGGTTAACATAATATGTGAGTTTGTTTTCTTTCTACCATCAGACAAGTGAAGTAGATGAAGCGCACATTTTGGTCTTGGCTATAGTAGCCTACCTATGATATAGGCCATGATATCTTTCATATCCAGCTCTATTCATATTTTATTAAACATCCTATAATGCGATGCTGTAGACTTATAATTTTAGCTACTAACAACTTAGTTAAGCCACAAATAAGTAAATAAATGTGTGAAACGTTTATTTTCAAGAGCAGTAAGACTGCCATACGAACGAAATTCTTGTTCTCAGGTTGTCCGAAAGACATTTTTCATTAGCGCCCTCGTAATACAGACTTCGGTTCTTTTATCATATTTTGCAATACCACAATCATTATACTTGTGGGTTGTATCAGACATGAAATATCTCAACATGTGATTGTAAGTTACACATAAAAAAATTCAGTTCGTATGGAATAGTCTCGCCTAACCGCCCAACAGAATCAGACAGCTTGTGTGGCATTTCATTGTTCCGACGTCGACATCGAAGGGCAAAAACGTGCATGTTCATCTTATTGTATTGAGAACTTGGGAGGAGACGTGGACTTTAGTAACCTAAATAACGTCAATAATCCTCAGATATCCTAAAGAGCAACATAAACGTGAATTTATTAACCTGTAAGAACCGAAAAATATATCGCTCAGTGGTAAAATGGTTACCAATCGCGACTGCCTTCAAAACAGTTAGTTCACCTGTTTTTAAGTCTACCTGTTTAATATACACTACCCATTTTACATCTCAATGAACGTTAAATTGACATAATATCTGCAGTTTTCGATCTGTAGTTATAATAAATTTATCAATTAATCGACTGACCTACTAACAAAAGAAGAAGTACTGCTACATTTAAGAATGGAATCAACGACTCCCACATTCCGCTGGTATGTGTCAGTTGCCTAGAAGCCCCTAAGCAATATTAAATGATTTTCGAAGGACATTTTTATAATGATGTCCCTGTCAGTATTTCATTATAAATAACTTCGACTAAATTACCTTTGAGGTAAGTGTATTCCAAGCAGATATCTTGACAACTCGTCGAAAAAGTTTCTTATAAGCTGGCAGTGGACATGTTGAAGACAGAAATACGCAACTGGAAGAAATAATAAAGGAATTAATTAAAGATAAACCAACGAAGAAATTTCTCTGGGAGAAAATTATGTCCGCAGAAATTTGCATGTTAGCCGTAATTTTAATATTGATCGTCATGAAGTCAAGTTGGCTATAACTGCGTCATTTATTTGGCTTATGAAGTTGTTTGTGAATAGGTCTAGGTCAATTGCCTATTAACTCTCTTCAGCAGAATTATAAATGGTTTTTATTTCTGCTTCAAAATCTTTCAAAACGAATTTCCCATTTTCCACTGCCGACTATATATAATTATCTTCCTTTGTAGTCTACATAAATACACACACAAACATGTATGTACATCCAAATGATCGTATAAGAACACTGGACAGAAATGAACCCTGATTTCTTACTTTTGAATCTGGTTGTCCTCTACCACATATTTATTTAATGTCGACATACAGGGAGACGTGGTCTGGTAGAGACCTGTTGATCTCTGTGGAACGCTGCCAAGTTTAACACGGGAATGTATAAGGCAAGATTCTATAATTTCACAACCACTTCTCCATTCTTCCAACTGTTTTTATAGGTCTCAAAGTTTAAAACCTTTGGTCTGTCCATATTCAGAATTAATTCTCAAACGACATTTGGCAAGACTCAATGGAAAGGAGATTGGATATTCGTAAAGTCTGAATATACACTGAAAAATATAAAGAATAAAACGAAATAGCAAATAAAATAATACATCATTGAGTTGAACATAATTTTAACTTTTACTTAACAAATTATTGCGGAAAAATGACTTTTATGTTCCTGGCGTTAGGACAATGGATGGTTTACTTACTTCATTCCAGTTAATCAAGGCATAAAATTCTCACATTCACTCTTTTGATTTAATTACCATAGATACTTCCTCCCCAGTCCTCTTATTTCACCGTAAAATCGCCTTTAAAATACAGATACAATAACCTCTGCAGTTGATACAACTTAGACCTATTAACTAAATTCCACGCTACAGGGTCCTCATCGGCCTAATATTGATAAATATATTCAATGTTATGAGACTCGAATATTTATATCCGTCCGCACAAAACACGCCACTGAACCTAATTACAACCCACAGGACACCTTTATAACCGATTTCTAAAATATTAATTTTAACTTCAACTGCTAGGGTAAAATATTTTATTCATAAGTGGTAAGGTGGGCCAAACTGACCCGACGAAAAATACTTCATAAATATAAATTTTATGGTACACCTATATATTTTAACTTCACTTGAATTTCACTACACCACTCTTTAACTATCATCACTGCTAAAAACAATCACTTGAATTTCACTACACCACTCTTTCACTATCATCACTCCTAAAAACACTATAGAAATACAGAAACTACATAAAACAATACATAAGAATTATCAATTCAAGTAATTTTGGTTATAATAAATGAGAATAAAATTTTCAAGTGGTTTAAAATCATAATGTGCATAGTAATATTTTATCCGTTTGACCGCCAAAATATAAGTAACATTTCAACATCAGCTCTCTTTGTTTTTTCCTGAAGACAATTTTTAACTTCAATAGAAGGAAACCAATTATCTCATGCAATATTTCTGTTTGTTATGTTCCACTGCAGACAATTTGTGCAGGTAGACTTCTTCAAGCATCATGAGACGTGTTTCATGTCGTAGTTAACGTGGACATAAACTATCAACTGTTAACTGTTCGTCTGAAACTACAAAAAATATATATTAAAAACCCAGACACAGCTGAAAGCTTATTGTTTTTCTCTGTCTTAATTCGTGTCCTGTTGTCATAAAATCTTGGATATATTATTGCTGAAATATATCCTTGACTGTAACATCGCGCGTGTATAATCCTTTAAGATGTCTAGGAGCCCCACCCCCTCTGAAAGATCTACCGTTGCCAATTTGATACTTTTAGTGGGATTAAAGAAGTTTGCTTTTCCGTATAGGAATATTTAGATCTTTCATTCGACTGCGTAATGAAGACTAGAATCTAAAACTTCATATGTAAATAACAGTTACCACGCAGTCTCTAAATCACTTGAAGGAGAACGCTTTGCAAGTGCACGTGCACTCAAGGATAATGCGTTATTCAACTGCGTCTTGAGGTGCATCGTGTACACTTGAACAGAACTTTTCCAAACAGAATTTGCATCATGCACACATTGCTTTCGCATTCCACTTCTTCGATCAGACTCGGTCTCGTCACTATGAATGACATTCTTTATCAGTTTCCTTACACCTTCGTCGTTCGTTTCCTCTAGTAACCTTGCAATGTTTAATCGTTTTTACCCTCTACTCACGATGAACATGGAACAAAATAAGTCTGTCTAAACGTGCTTTCCGACGTCAACAGGATTCTTACTGATTCTGCA